TGACAAAAGGCTGTCAAACTCCAAACATTCTATGGGCAAGAAACAAGCTGATAAAACTATTCACCTGCAGATGTGTGCTAACTTTCACGTAAAACGAAAGATGACTCATAGAGTGGAGCCAGGAACCCAGGAAGATGGAGGCAGCCAGCCATTGAATATGTTATATTACACTGCAAAACAAATTAAGCTTGGAGATGAAATTAAGGTTTCTAATGAACTGGCCTTAAAATAGGGAGATTATCCTAGATTATCTCAATGAGACCAATCTAATCACATGAGTTCTTAAAAATGGAAGAGAGAGGCAGAAGCATGGGTCAGAGAGATGCAAAGTGAAGACTCAGCTTGCTGCTGCTCATTTTGAAAATGGAGGAAGGGGGCCATGAGTCAAGGAATGTGACAGTTTGTAGAACCTGGGAACGGCTGTCAGCTTACAGCCAGCAAGAAAAGAGAGACATCAGTTCCACAGCCAGAAGGAACTGAATTCTTGGGGCCAGCCCAGTGGCACAGCAGTTAAATGTGCACGTTCTGCATTCAGCTGCTGGGGGTTGCTGGTTTGGATCCCGGGTGTGGACATGGCACCACTAAGCAAGCCATGCTGTGGCAGGCATCCCACATATAAAGCAGAGGAAGATGGGCATGGATGTTAGCTCAGGGCCAGTCTTCTTCAGCAAAAAGAGGAGGATTGGCTGCGGATGTTAGCTCAGGGCTAAGCTTCCTCAAAAAAAAAAAAAAAGAAGAAGAAGAAGAAGGAACTGAATTCTGCCAACAACCTGAATGAGTGAAGAAACGGATTCTCCCTATTGCCTCCAGATAGGAATGCAGCCCTGCTGATGCCTTAATTTTAGTTTGGTGAGACTCAGGCCAGACTTCTGACCTATAAAACTATATGATAATTAATGTGTCATTTTAAGCCACTAAATTTGTTATGGCAGCAATAGAAAACTAATATAAAACCAGTCAAAAATTTTTACTGTTGTGGGGATTACATTCCCACAGTGGGAGACGGTCAATAAACAATATATATGTAATAAGTTAGCAGTATAAATTTAGCAGTTCAAATAAACTTTAGCAGTATTTTCTTAAATAAAATAATTGGTTACCTAATTTGTTTGAAATCATAGTGTTAGGATTTAAACTAAGATGTATACTTTTTCTAGATTTATTCAACATAGAAAAAATGGTTCTTTATTTTATTAGCTAAGCATTGTATTTAAAAAGGTTGTCCTTTCCTATTTTTCTCATTATTAGTCTAAATTTTTTTATAGTTCCCGTATTTTTAAAAAATATATGTTTCTTCCAAGATATATTATTTTGGTGCCTTCTCAAAGTTATTCTAAAAATATGATGGAATTCTTTCACTATTTGCATTCCTAACTGATCTTTCTAGTTTCATGAGACTCACAGTGACATAACAGAAAAAGCAAGGTACTTTCTGAGACAAGTTCTGCATCCTAGATGCTACAAACGTTGGCAAGTTACTGACCCACTCTGAACTTCGGTTTCTGTCGGAAAGATTAGAAAACTTGCACCTGTTTCCAAGGGTGTTATAAGAATCAGATAAAATCTTGTAAATTCTTTAAAAAATTCTTTTAATTATTTCAACAGATTTTCTCCCTTGATCTCAATTTCTAAAACAAAATAAAATATCCAAATTTTAAAATTGTGTAACAGTTGGTTGTTTCAATGTAGGCCAAATTAGAAATAAATAAGGAAAAAGAATCTATTTGGTTAAAGCACAAATTCACTGAGGCCTAAATTTTGTTCTTAATATTTTGCTTTGACCTGCTTAGGGCATAAAGTATGAAGCAACGTGGAGAGAGGAAGGCCCTGACTTTGGGGACAGAAAGAACTGGGTTCTCATCCTAGCTATGCCCCTTACGGTTATGTCCCTTAGAATATCTACATGAACGTGTAATCAACCCTCCCATGTTATGTTTGGAGTTCCGTAACCATGAGAAGCTCTTCGATTTGTCTTTTTAATTCTCTTGTAAAATAAAGATAATAAATAATTTCAAAAATCCAAAAGGTTTCTTCTTCTTCCTGAAGCTTTGAGATAGAAAAGACAAGAAAAGGAAAGATACACATTCCGATGATGTCATTACCCCGTAAGTGAACACAGAAAAGCACATATTTCATGAATAAATACTATTTGCTGCCAAAACAATTTGTTAAAGTCAAACCCTGAGGTTATGCAAACATAGCTGTCACAAAGGTAAAAAAGTTTCTTATCTTCTTCTCCATGGATAGCAGGAGAAAAATGACATGAAAATTGCTACTTTTTACTAACAGAATCAAGTTTTCACTTTACTTATTTGATTCAATTAGAAAGTATGTTCTTTGGGGAAAAGAAGCCACTCAGGACAAAAAAATCTAAGAACGTACTTGAGAACCCTGTAGTAAGAGCTGATTCTGGAAATTCACACATTTATTTTCCTGTATTGTTATTGATTAAAGATAGGAATTAAATTGTGTTGTATGCATATACCCGAAGAAAAGCGATAGCTATATATAATTTCAGACTAATTTGTATAAATTACTTAATCTCTTGTAGCTTTCAATTTTTAATCTGTAAAAAATATTAACAATCTTGCAGTAGTCCAATGAAAAATCATTGTAAATTGCCATGAACACATAGTTGGCTCTCAATATATGCCGTTTGTATCGCTGTGGTGGTGATTAACATTATTACATGCAATTATTAATGCTAACCTAATCTTCTAAGCCATCAACAGGTTTAAGTAGCTCATTGCTCAATGATGTCCTGATAAGCAAAGCAATGAAATAAGTGTAAAACATTCTACACATCCTAAAAATTATTATACATTTGGTGCTAGTGAGGTATAGAGTATCAGACCAAACTGAGGATGTCTAAACAGATTTGCTCTCTAAAATCATATGTAGATGAAGTGAATTTCAACTCTAGAACCTGTGAAGTCTCTTTATTAGCTTCCTCAGTGCTGTCTACAAGCCCTATTAAACATTGTGATCAACAGGAATATATCATCAGTGGTGAAAGTCTGGGACAAGACTAGTTTGCCAATGCTGAAGTGATAAGGGAGGACACAATGATTCTAGAAATTGCCTGAGGCCAATGAAATAAAATGACATAATTTTGAACTGAAAAATGGAACAGATGGTGTTAACATTTTCTTTACAGCGGTGATAGAAGTCTGAGATGAACACTGAACTGAAAGGCATTTCTTTTGCTTTTCTATTCATTCTCATTAATTTCTCCGAGCAAATGCTTTTAAATTAACTGGAGTCACCATTCCTTTCATGCGGTTGAAATTTACTAAGCACTTACGTCGCTGGCACTGTTCAGAGCTTTGGATATATAGAAATATGTATAAATTCAGTACAACCGAATCCTTGGCCTCATAGTTTAGGTGACAGACAATTATCACACAATGTGATAAGTTCTGTGATGGAGGTAGGCAGAGAAGTACAGAAGAGGCAGCTCACCTAGACTGAAAGATTCCAGAAAGGTTCCTTGGAAACCAAGGAACCAAGACTTAAAAAATGAATACATTGATCAAAGAGTCCAGTTTGGGGGAATTGCATATGGTATTGGGACATATGTGAGAAATGGCTAATTCAGGGAATTTTAGCAAATAAATGCTGGACTGTAGGTGAACATGGGGTGGGGGAGGGGGGTGAGAGGTGAGCTGGACAAGCGGTCTGAGGCCACATCCTGAGGACTATTTTATACCACGCTAAAATAGGAGGAAGTTAATGAAACATTGTGCTCAAGATGCTTCAGTTAATAATTATGCAAGCAATTTGTTACCTTTTATTTATATGGGAAACAGAGGTATTTGAGAACAGCAGACACAAAGAGGGGGATATTTATAAGGGATTTTGATAAATGTCCTACTTAGCTCCTCAATTTCAGTCTTTAAGAAGCAACTCCTACTCCTACACCCTCGGATTCAGGTTTCTCTGTGTTCTTTGGTTCTTACTTTTAAGGTCTTAGCTTAATGGAAAAAAGACCGGGGCTGGCTTGGTGGCACAGCGGTTAAGTTTGCACATCTGGCTTCTCGGTGGCCTGGGGTTCACCGGTTCAGATCCTGGGTGCGGACATGGCACTGCTTGGCAAGCCATGCTGTGGTAGGCGTCCCACGTATAAAGTAGAGGAAGATGGGCACGGATATGAGCTCAGGGCTAGTCTTCCTCATCAAAAAGAGGATTGGCACTAGTTAGCTCAGGGCTAATCTTCCTCAAGGGAAAAAAACAAAAAAAAAGAAAGAAAGACCAAAGATATTTCGCTAGGAAATCTTAATGCAACTACTCTGAGTTAAATAGTGTGCCTCAAAAATACACGTCCATGCACAACCTCAGAATGCAACCTTATTTGGAAATAGGATCTTTGCATATCTAATTAGTTATGTTAATATGAGGTCATACTGGATTAAGGTGGGCTCTAAATCTCATACATGGTACTCTTATAAGAAGACCGTGTGAAAATAAAGGCAGAAATTGGAGTTAGGCTGCCACAAAGCAAGAAACACCACGGATTGCCAGAAACCTTCAGAAGCTAGAAGAGAAGCAAAGGATAGTTTCTCCCTCAGAGCCTCCGGAAGGAACCAACTCTGCCTACTCGGCAATGGGGACTTCTGGCCTCCTGAGCTGTGAGGGAATAAGTTCTGTTGTTTTAAACCACGCAGATTGTGTTAATTTGTTCTGTTGCCCTTGAAAACTAATACAACAAGAAGAAAAATATATCTAAATGTCGTTATGAATTTCTCAGGTGGCTTTTTCTAGACAGCGCTTTATCTACTCCAAACATTTTAAACCAGTCTGAAGGGACAGATGAATAATTTTTAGGAATTTTCACTGTAATTACACTATCTATAATGAAAAGAAAATATAAATTTCAAGATCTTAGAAAAATACAGTTTCTCTATACTTCTATCTATATCCAAGTATTTAATTCTTTATTTATGCCCAGTAATGACAAACATATAATCATTTTTACAATTCATTTTTTCTTTTTATTTCAGGTTATTTTACTTGTTCCATCTTGAGAAACTTGATGTTTCCTACAATGATCTTACTTTTATTCCAAATGAGATCCAGAAACTCAGGTACTTTGAAAGTAGTAAGTACATACAATGTGATATGCCCCTTAGGATATATTTGGTGATGACTGTGATGGAGAAAATTGAGTCCTTTCATTTGTTTAATAGCTATAAAGCATAATATGTGAAGCATAAAGTTTACCAAAATGTAATTTAAATGATTGGTGTATAGCATTTTTTTTTTTTTTTTTTTTTTTAGGAAGATTATCCCTGAGCTAACTACTGCCAGTCCTCCTCTTTTTGCTGAGGAAGCCTGGCCCTGAGCTCACATCCGTGCCCATCTTCCTCTACTTTTATATGTGGGACGCCTGCCACAGCACGGCACGCCAAGCGGTGCCATGTCCGCACCCAGGATCCGAAGGAGCGAACCCCGGGCCGCCGAAGCGGAACGTGCGCACTTAACCGCTGCACCACGGGGCCGGACCCTACAATATTTTTAAGACATAACATTTTCAGTAATTATTTAAAGGATGGTACTGATGACCACTGGTAAAATGACAGCTACTTTTGTCCATTTTTCCATGTGTATACCTGTAGTTATTATCACTTTTATTTATTTTTTGTAAGGAAGCATGTATATACAAAATGCTAATAACACATAGCATAATTTTAATACTAAGCTCCAATTCTTTTTCACATTAATTTTTTAAAAATCCTGAAGTTCATCTATGTCCTTCTAGGACAATAACCATAATATTTTTATTATGACTTTAGAATAATTTTTAATAACTAGGGAGATCTTTTTTCAATAATAGTCTTTTAACTACTCTTTAAATCATGATCTTTAAGATCATTTAAGAAAATTCCAAGCCCCTCATCATCCAAAAAACATAAACACCAAATTGAGATTTTTATTGGATTTGCATCGTTTATATATAGATTTTGAAGAATTTACATTTCTAATGATAATAAATCTTTTTGTCCTAAAATATAGTATAATTTTTCATTTGATCAGATCTTGTTTTATGTTCTTCATAAGAATTTATGACTCATTTCACAGTTCTTTATCTTTCTTACTAAACTTTTCTAAGTATTTTATAATTGTGTTGCTACTGTGAATGTAATATTTTCTCTAATTTCCATTTCTTGCTGACTATCGCCAGTACAGAACAGAGAAAAGCTATGTACTTCTTTACATTAATTTAAAATCAAGCTATGTAGCCAAATTATCTAAGTTCTAGTTCAGTTTTACTAGATTTTCTTTGGTTTCCAGGAGCATAATCTTCAGTAAAATGAGATAATTTTATGTCTGCTTTTTAAATATTTATACCAATTATTTAATTTCCTACGTGACAATCTTTGTATGTTAAAAGGAGAATTCAGCCTGTTCACATTTGTTATGACTGATATATTTACTTTTTGTCCTTTATTTTACTTTGTATTTACTAATTATGTACTTTCTCCTTTTCTTATTTTCTGTCCTTTTCTGGTGATTTTTTTTTCCAGGATGCTATTTATTCTCTTTTTTTTCTCCTTTGTTAATTTTGGAACTCTACTGTACTTCCCCAGTCTTAATGGTTATCTTTCCTTTCCCAAAATTCACAAGCACGCTTTTCTTTAATATTTTATAAAAGCAAGATGCAAACCACTTCCCCCAACGGGAAGATGTGTATCCCCACCGTTGCTTCCACCGAGAGTTGAGACTTTTAGAATACTTTTACTTTCCTACTTGCTCTCCAAATGCATTTACCCCTGATCTAACTCTAGGTTTTGCTGAGATAGTTTAGAAACTTTTGTTTCAGATTCTCATTAGCATTTTCCTTTGCGTCATGTGTCTCTTTATTTAAAGACTATTTATTTAGCTCTTAGATCTCACAAGCATTTGCAACCATTCTCCATTTATATTTAACTTGATGTATTTCAAGATTCATTGCTTCCCGCTCTTCTTGCATCTCATCTTCCACCTGGCGATCTCCTTTGATTCATTGGCTGTTTAGAGTTTTGCCTTATTTATTTTCGGCAGCTGGAGTGCATGGGTGATTTTTTTCTCTGAATCTTGACTCCTAACGGATACATGGTGTCTCAAACGGGTGAACAGTCTTGCGTTGCAGCCCTTTTCAGAGTCTCCATCAGCACGTCCTTTTCCAGCTTCCCGTGTTGCAGACGAGGCACCTGATGCCAGCTTGATTTCTCTCTCTTTGTGAGTGGTTCTTATTGTTCTCTGGAAAGGCTAAGATTTCTCATGATCCTTGATCTATGAGAATTTTATCAGATTTTCCTTAGGAATGTGTCTTTTTTCTTTTTTTTTTTTAACCTGTCTTTCTTGGAATTAAATGAACTCTTAATTATCCTAACTTGTTTTTTTTAGTTAAGGTAATATATTTAATTATTGTCTCTCTTCCTCCCTTTATTTCATTTTCCCTTCCTGAAATGCCTGTTATTTCTATGTTAGAAATAAGTGCTGTATCTGTCTCTACAGCACTTATATTTTTCTCAGGATTTTTCTTTATATTTTTATTCTGTTTGAGTTATTTCTTCTACTTTGTCTTTGCCTTGAACTCAGATCTCCGCAAAGACCATGTTCTTCTTCAGTTCTTCTGCTTAATTTTTTAGCTTTACAGGTCATGTATTTTGGTTTTAAGAAAGTTTTTGCACGTGTGTGTGTGAGTGTGTGTGTGCATACGTGTGCCATAGTTGAATCTTATTGTTTCTCCTGCCTCTTGCCCCGACTTCTTATCTGTCTCCACAGAGTATGCTTGCCTCAGGCACACCATTCTGTGTGTTTTGTTTGTTTTTCTCGTCTGGCTGCTCTGCCTTCTGCCAGGTCCCATAGCAGTCTCAGAGCATCATTCAGAGCACGGAGAGTATCAGTGATGTAGCTGGAGGAAGTTTCTCTGCTCCCCAGGATACTCAGCTACAAAGGCTGTCTAACCATGGAGCTCTTCTAGCTTTAAAGATTGTTTAGCCTACCAAGCTCCCCCAGAACTCGTTGAGAGGAAGGGCGCACCCCAACTGGTGAGTCCTCTAAGATAAATCAACTCAGGCAGGGGCAGCCTCACCCATGGGTGTTCTGGGGCCCTCACTGCTATCTCCCAAGAGTGTGCCACGCTAATTCTGGTTGTTCAGAGGGCTCTCTGCTGCTGGCCTCGAGGCTTGTATTTGATGTAGAGGAAAGAAGTGATCATGCCAGCTCTCTCCTTCAGGACTGAAGCAGAGCCGGAGGTCTCGTTAACCTTTTGCAGCCTATAAGAAGTGCAGTAATCAAACTGGTTGAGAGATGAAGATAGCTGAGGTGCCATCTTCGTAGCTTCGTTCTTTTCAATAATGGCCTCTTTGACCATGTTTTAATATTGTCAACAGGAGTCATGATTAAAGAACTTAAACTGTATGGGTAAGAGATGTGAAACTAGACTGCAAATGAGAATCTACAGGCCTCCCGCTGCTTGTTACCTGAAGTCCATGTGTCTACCTCTTCGCCCCCAATACATTTGAGAAGTTGGACCAGCCTTTGATTTGGTTTTATTTGTCTTTCATGAACAGATACTTTTCTGCCTACTTCCAACACTAATTAAAAAAGAGATAAGTGACTATAAAAACACCATCATGACAAGTGGATTAATAGACATTTGGCCCTGCCCAAACATCTAGAATACATATGGTCCATGTGAAAAGGTCCTTGATATTTGGTCATCTCCAAAACATCCATCAAACATTTGGTCTAACAGAAATTTGGTCCATGTCAAAAGATCCCTGACATTTGGTCCTGTCCAAAACATCCATGAGCATATTTGGCCCATGCCAAATGGCTTCGGACAGGACGGAGTATCAAGGACCTTTTGACATGGACCTAATGTCTCCATAGCCATTTTGGACAGGACCAAATATGACCAGATATCAAGAACCTTTTCGCATGGACCAAATGTCTAATGGACGTTTTGGACAAGACTAAATGGTTCTGCAAATATCAAGGACCGTTTGGTATGGACCAAATATGACCAGATATCAAGGATTTTTTGGCATGGGCCAAATGTCTGAAGGATAGTTTGGATAGCATCAAATGGTCCTGCAAATATCAAAGACCTTTTGACATGGACCAAATGTCTTATGGACTTTTTGGACGGGACCAAATGTCCTGCAGGGAACAAATGGTATAAAATGAGAAAATCAGGAATGTTGGTTCTCTTTGAATAAAGGAGTACGAGTTATTTGTAGCAACTGATACAGTAAAAACCAAGGAGACTCAGGTGATGAAAAGTTAAAGTACAACATAGCTCATAATACATTTTTTTGTTTTTGTTTTTTGTTTTTGCTGAGGAAGATTCGTCCTGAGTAAACATCTGTTGCAGATCTTCCTCTTTTTTGTGTGTGTGTGTTAGCCACTGCCAGCATGACCACTGAAAAGTAGTGTAGGTCCACACCCAGGAACTGAACCCAGGCCACTGGGCCACCAAAGAGGAGCACGCCACTCTTAACCGCTAGGCCACTGGGGCTGGCCCTTAATATGTTTTGATAGTATTAATTTCACTGTTTTCATCGGCTTTAATGAAAAAAATATGTGGTGTTATTCAATTTGCCTATGAAAATATATTTTTTCTTTGTATCCTTATATTATACTGTATTATGTTTTATGTAATATAACATTCATTTATCTTGCTATGTTTGTGAATATTATTTCTTTTCCCATAATGATGACATGCTACAAATACCTGAAATAGGTGCCTTAACTGTATTATTCACACAAATGCACTTATTTGCATAATAACATATTGCTTCAGTTGCTTTTTAAGTTAATTCTCTTGATTCTAAGGAAATACTTAAACACTTATATTTTATTGCTACTAAATTTTACTTCAGTATTATAAATTACATGAATCCTTTTTAAAATATGGTTTCCTTTATTAACAGATCACTTGAAAAACTGATTGTTGATGGGAATGACCTGACTAGTTTTCCACCTGGAATTTTGAAGCTTAACCTGAAACAAATCATGTTTGAGAATACTTACACTCATCCTATTCTTTGGAAAGAGAACTCTTTGAATAGTCCTCCACATCTTACTCAGATTGCTTCTTTGTTCTTTTTAAAAAATAATCTGCAGAAAAACTATCATATGATCCCACTGAAAATTCAAAAGTTACTAAAATGGTGAGCAAATTCTGATGCCCCCTGAACCAAAATGTACTTTTAAGCATTTAAAATGTTTTTCATGACAGGCCCAGATGACAGTTTTACTATTAAAACACACACACACACACACACACCCAACACCACACACCAAAATATACACGCAATTCTTCAAAGTGTTCCTTGAGGCTCTTCGGGCTTTATTACGTTAGTAGTCTGAATTCAGCCCATCTTCTAATATTCTCACATTATTGCTTAAATCCAATATGAGGTCCAGATTGCAGAAGTGTGGCTGGTAACATCTACACAGTTGTAGTATAAATCTTTTCCATGAATTACTAAGGATGTAGAAGTTGGTTCTTCCAAGAAAAGATTCTTTAGTCCCAGGCACACTACGCAGGACAATGCTTTACTCGACTCTCACTTTGTTGAGACCTGGACTAGAGCAGGCCCACACCGGGCGGCTTCTCCTCCTCAGGGATCAGTGACTACTGTGATAAGAGTCACTGCCTACCCTCAGGAATGGGGTTCTTAAACCCCACACTTGCAGTCCACTCAGGCTTATGTCATTTCCTTCAGATGGTGTAAAACTATTTTTACTGCAGTACTGATCATCATCAGTGCTTGAAGTATTGATTTAACAAACATTTGTTGTATGCCAAAGTAAAATGGCTTCCCAGAAGTAGATAAATTACCGATATTGACTCAATAAGAGGCACGAAAGCTGAACAGACCAGTAAACAGTGGAAAAATGGGAAAAGGTGTTTAAAAATCTAATAATAAAAAAGGAACCAGGACCCGAAGTATTCAATTTTAATGCATTGAGATGTCAATGCTCGTAAGATTTGAATGCACGTGAAAAAGTAAGAAAAATCTCCAAGGACAAAAAATTTTAAAAAGAATTAAAAAAACTTAACTAGTGAGCAGTAAACAGATATGGGACCAAGAGATTTGAATTCACCACAAAGCAGGGAAACTGAACCTGACATTTGTGTCAAGTTTGAGTCAAATTTGGGTCAAATCTGTACTCAAAAATGGCTGTGGTCCCAGAGTAGTGAATACCTCTCTGCCAGCGGAACAAATGTTTTTGAGAGAAACGTTATCAATTTAGACTTTGAAGATTCCAGAAAATTAAGTTCAAATGAATATTACCTCACAATTTAAAGAAATTTCCAAATACATGAGGAAATAGCCACCAAGAGTAGAGTCAGCAAAAAGAAACAGATTCAAATCTCCAAGGATCTAAGGTATTAGAATTGTTTACAGAATCTGAAATACCACTTTCTGTTTAAAGAAATAAAACATAATTTTAAAAATAATTAAGGAGTAAAAGACCATCAAATATGACCAGGCAAATATGAAAAAGAAATTTTAAATGAAATGAAATTCTAGAAATAAGAGGTATAATAGTTGAAATTAACTTGGTGCATTGCCTAACAATTATACACACATGAAGAGATCTGAAGAAATTATTGTTTATATGCAGACAGGAGGTAAAGAAATGTGGATAATAAAAAAAGATTTGGGGGCCAGCCCCATGGCTGAGTGATTAAGTTCACATGCTCCCCTTCCGTGGCCCAGGATCGCCAGTTCAGATCCTGGGCGCAGACCTACACACCACTCATCAAGCCATACTGTGGCAGCATCCCACATAGAAGAACTAGAATGATCTACAACTAGGATATACAACTATGTACTGGGCCTTTGGGGAGAAAAAAAAAGAAGAGGAAGGTTGGCAACAGATGTTAGCTCAGGGCCAATCTTTCTCACCAAAAAAGCAAACTTAAAAAAAAAAAAAAGGGAGCTGGCCCCGTGGCTGAGTGGTTAAGTTCACACACTCCACTTGTCAGCCCAGGGTTTCACTGATTCGGATCCTGGGTGTGGACATGGCACTGCTCATCAAGCCATGCTGAGGCAGCGCCCCTCATAGCACGACCAGAGGCACTCACGACTAGAATCTACAACTATGGACTAGGGGGCTTTGGGGAGAAGAAGAAGAAAGAAAAAAAAAAAAGAAGATTGGCAACAGATGTTAGCTCAGATGCCAAAAAAAAAAGAGAAGACTTAACATACCCTTGGAGTCCCTGAAAGTAAGAATCAAGAGAATGCTGGGAGTCATTGTCCAATGAGATAATGACTGTAAATTCTCAGAAGTAACGAAAGAAATGAATTCACAGACACTGAAAGCTCTAAAAGCTAAGAAAAACACCTTGTGGTGCAGCTGAAGAACACCAAAGTCAGCAACAGGGACTTAAAATCAGCCAGGAAGAAAAAGTCACCTACAAAGAACAAATCAACTGGCAGCAACAGTGGAATGATAACTGAAGAAACGTTATTTTACCCAGCAAAACTAACTTTTAAGAACAAGGGGGAAAGAATGGCATTTTCAGAAAAAAAAAGCAGAGAATTTACTCCTCATAGATTTTCATGAAAGGAACTTGCAAAGGATGTGCACTAGAAAGAAGGAAAATGACTCCAGAACAAGTTCTGAGATGTGAGAAAGAATAGAGGGAAAATAAATTGGAAACTATGTAGGTAAGAAAACATGATCCCTATGATCTATGAAATAATAAGAACAATAGTGTCTACGGTGTGGCATTAAAAAGAAGACATACCTAAAACCAAACATCAAACAATTAGAAATGTTAATTTTTAAAAGGTACTTTTTATGATAGCAAGAAAAAACAATGTGTCTAGGAATATATCAAGTGAGATATGTACAAGATATTTATGGAGAAAAAAATTAAAACTTTACAAAAAGGTAAAGAAGGCTGAATTAAATGGGAGAGACACATATTCAGGTGTAATAAGATTCAATACCAAAAGTATGTTAGTTCTCCCAAAATAGAGCTAGATATTCAATGCAATTCTAGTCAAAATCCCAACAGAATTTTCTGGGACATGGATAAGCTGATTATAAAATGTGTGTCGAAAAGCAGACACTCTAAAATAGCCAAAACAAACTTGAAAAAGTAGTCTAAAATAGGGACTTGCCTACCAGATATAAAGACTTATTACAAAATTAGAGAAAGTAACACTGTTGATTGTATGTGCAAGGAAAGACAAATTAACCAATGGAAGAGAATGCATAGCCCAGTTACGTTCTCATGCGTATGTAAGAACTTGATATTGGACAAAATAGCACTGTGGGTCAGTAGAGAAAGGGTAGACTTTTCCATAAATGATATGAAGACATTTGGCAGTCTATAAGGAGACAATATATAATGATTCCTGCTATGTATATATATATGTCACCATCATATACAAAATCACTTCCATTTGGATTAATGATTTAAATGTGAAAAGCAAAATTTTAAAGCCCTTACAAACAAGTATACGAGACTATCTATATGACTTCACAGTAGGGAGAGAGAAACAAAACATAAAAAATATAAACAGTAAAGCAAAGTTTCATAAATTTGACAAAAGAGTAATATTTCCACATAATGTGACACTATCAATGAAATTAGGAGACAAGCCGTTAACTGAAAGGAGATATTGCAATGCTTGTAACTGTTGAAACATGCATGTATGTCTCCCACAAATCAGTAGGAAAACACATAACCCATAGAAAAGTGGTGAGGTGGTAGGAATGTGCAATTCATGGCTGACGATATACAGATGGATGATAAACAAGAGTGTGAAATCTTACTAGTAATCAAGGAACTGCAATGTAAAGTAGCAACAGTAGTTTTTTTTTAATGTCTCCGTTTCATTAAAATTAAAAAGGTTAAGTACTGGTTTTGGATGCCTGAAAGGAGGATTATCCTGGACCATTGGCGGCACTGTAAGTTGGCAAAAGCTTTGTGGAAGGCAATTTGACAATACTTTACGTACTCCTTAAAGTAAAAGTACAAGTTTTACAAATCTGTCTTGTAGAAATAATTATGTTAACAAAAATTCAGCCGAAGGGATGATAATTGCAGCCCAAATGTGCATCAATAAAAAAGTGGTAAAATAAATTATGGTGCATCCCTATCATGGAACATTTTGATGCTATTAATAAGAATGAAGTAAAACAAAATGTCGTGATGTAGAAAGCTGTCTAAGACATGTTGTTAATCAGAAAAGCAAGTTCTACACGCAGACACATACACACAGAGTGAGTGAGCACACACAAGAGCAATTCCGTTTATGTAAAGAAAAGTCATGTGCTGGGAGCTGGAGAGTATAACTCAACCTATGAGCTTCAGTTATTCTGGAGAGGGGAGTTAGTGTGAGTGAAGGGATGAATAAAGGGGAAATTCTGGGTTTTTCTCTATGTACTTCTATATTGTTTGGAAACTTAACAAGGACAGGTTTTCATGTAAATAAAAAGTGATGCAAGTGATGGATAAAGAAGAGTGCCTAGAGAAGGAGAGATTGCAGCTACCGCTGGGAAAGTAGGGAAAAGATTCAGGAATAAAATGGTCTTTGAGAAGGGTCTAAAAGGACAGGGAAAATTTATACATTTGGAAATATGTATTGTGTTCAAGGGACATTCCAGGAAGAGGCAACCAGATGAGGAAATTAACTAAAGTTGAGTAAAAGAAGGGATGTGTGCAAGGAGAAAAATGAATGTTTAGTCAGAGCAAAACATTTACGAGGAGTAGCAAAAAGTTTGCAAAGGAAGATGGGAGCCAGCTGATGGAAATCTTTGAATGCATTGCAGGTTTCTCCTTTAGTCATTGAGTGCAGCATGAGCAGACGCGGCAATCGTGTCAAAAATGGACTAGAGTAGAGGAAGGCTGGGGGGAGATCAGTGAAAACCCTCTTGTCTATGACTAGTAAGGAGAGATTAAAGCCAAGTAATAGGCTTGGGAGTAAATTGGTAGGAAATGACACAAGACAAATTATGAAGGTAAAATTAACTCAACAGCTGCCCAGGTGTGTGGGGCAAGTAAGAGAGGGAGGAGTAAAAACGACCAAGGTTTCAATCTCATCAAAGATGATCGTGGTGATATTAATAAAAATAGGAACAATGAAGGAGGGATTTGTCATCCAACCTGACCCTCATCCTCTGTTGTCTACCTTTGGCTTTG